TTACATGCTCATGCATGTTGATGGTGTGTTAGGTTTTCCCTAAAACAGGGAGAAAGAACTACACGTTTTAATAAGTCAAGTTCTTTCTTTTCAAGTTGCCTAAGGAATAAAAATAGTTCTACTCTTATTCCATGTCTTATGAAACGTTTTATTTTTTACTTGTGAAAATGGCAATGGAATTATGATATAATTTTTTAATATGGATTCAGTTTTAAGTTGGTAAATATGATTCTAGCTGAATGGAATGATTAACACAGTGACCCCAAAATGGTCCTGTCTTATATATATAAAGACATGTGCCTACCTTAAATTCTCATCTTAGAAAAATGCTAGAAGAGGTAAGTGTGAGATGATTTAAGATAATACATATGTAATATACATGAATAATATTCCTAACAAATCATTGAAATTCCAGCATAGGTTTTTTTTCAATAATGTTGTAAATATTTAAAATTTTCATAAGTTACAGTAATGAAAATTTATTTTTCTATCGGTTATTGATGACTCACACCTGGCATTCTAGATAATCAGGAGGGTGAGATCTGAGGATACAGGTTCAGAGCCAGCAGGAGACAAACAAATCTCTAAGCCTCTTTCTAATTAACCATAAAAAACCTGGAAGTGGCACCATGATTCAAGTGGTAGAGTGCCAGCAATTGAATGATAAAGCTAAAAGACAACACCCAAGTCCTGAGTTCAAACCCCAGGCCTCAATACCAGTACAAGAAAATAAAAAGGTATTTTTATTTTTTTCTTTCTATTCACATACATAGAAGTTTTTGGAATAGGCAAGGGAGAATTGTAAGTACAAATTTTATTGTGACACAGTAATCAGAAAAGCAAAACATATTTCTTATAAATTTATACTGGTAAAATGTTTATAATAGTCAATGATGCTCTTCCCTTAGTATCCTCTACCATTATACATTCTATTTTTGTTGTTGTTGTTGTTCCTCAGAAATCCATTCAGCAAAAAGCAAATATCAACTTCTATTGGTTCAAAAACAGTTAGACCTCTGTCAGCAATTTGACCCTAGATTGATACTTTTGCTTTATAAATATGAATTGAGGGAAATGGTCCATACCACCCACTTTACAGCAGTGAAATACTAGGAGCTCAAACAGACAACAAATATTTTCTTGCATTTCAAAATATTTATTTACATTATATATTTAAAATATTTGTCTACATCATCATTGACACTGCCATTTTCTTATCACTTCACTGTTAGAATTATGAGATCTTTAAGCATTAGATATCAGTTCATGAACATTTTAAATATTTGATATAGAGACTCTGTTTCATCAATTGCATATTTTTAAATAAAAGGTAAACAATAACTGGCCTTTTTATTTTCAGTTGATCAAACAAATCCTACAAAAAAAAGAATTGGAAACTTTGTTCTTTACAGTATCTAAGAATAATTAATGCTGTAAGTTTTCCCAAATTGTTTTCTAAAATAAATGCCATTTTATAATAATATCTTACTAAGTTTTAGGCAAAGATGTATCTTGTAAGGTTTAAGTTCTCTTTTCTGGGTACTTATTAAAGACAAATTAAATGATTCAGTTCAATCAAGCCCACTGATCCACTCTAAGTATAATGATTGAGATGTATGCATATGTCCTACTGTTCCATTAATCATATTAATCATTCATAACTATCTACTCCTCTTTTATAGATATGAGAAATCTTTACTCTCTATGTCATTATAATATGCTCCACCAATTTATTACTATGCCAGGGACACATGGACTTTTCAAAATTAAAACATGCAAAGTTCAGTGCTAAAATGATTGAATTTCAAAATCTGTGTGTTATATGTGCACAGTAACTCACAGATGTCACCCTAATGAGGAATATTAATTTTTTGTTTTACTCTGAAAAAAAAAACAGTCTAACTGAGCAGTTTAACTATACTTAGCTAATAAATATATACTTAGTTGAAAAGTGGAAAATTCAATTTAATTATTTTTTTCTGTAAGGCACTCTGAGAAATTAACATTTGTAACTATATTTTTCTAGTAAAATATTTATGGCTTTATTACATAGAATTTGTCATTTTAAATAAAATAACAATACCTCACAAACTTGGTACAATAAATATATCAATGATCCTCTAGTTTTAAATTATTGATATTCAAGAGTTACGGAAAATACAACCAGTCTCAAATTGAACACAAATGTAATCTTTCTAAAATTCCAGAAAACCTGGGAAAAGCATTCCAACTCTTTACTGTATATGGTAGAGAATTTTCTCCAAAGAAATATTTATCAACAGGAGAATTGAATTCTGGGTGACAAAGAACTAAAAAGAAATTTGGATTTCCCTAATAATTTCTTCAACTTTCTTTCCTCAATTTTTATATCAATCTATAACCTGTTATAATGGTGGTAGTAGCTATATAAATGGTTTTGTTTTGTTTTTGTTGTTGTTTTGTTTTGTCGGTCATGGGGCTTGAACTCAGCTCAAGGCTAGTGCTCTACCACTTGAGCCACAGCACTACTTCCGGTTTTCTGAGTGATTTATTGGAGATAAGAGTCTCACAGACTTTCCTGCCCAGGCTGGCTTTGAACCATGATCCTCAGATCTCAGCCTTCTGAGTAGCTAGGATTAAAGCATGAGCCACCACTGCCCAGCGTATATAAACTATTTTTATGTGTATATGTTCCAAGAAAAGTTAATGTTCCTTTCGATGTAGCTTTATTGCATCTCTTTATGTTTCTAAATGGAGGCAATATTGTTAAGAGTCCAGCCAATCATTTTTTTTGGGGGGGGAAGGGGGACATGAAGATATTCAATAATTTTTTCGTTGTTTAATCCCTTACCAATATATTCATTCTGAACAAGACAAGTACAGTTTCATAACAACATATATATTTAACACATGAGATTAGACTGTCTTTTAAAACACATTTTTAGAGGATAAAATAACTTCATTTTAAGTCTAGTATGGTGATGCCTAAAGTTTTAGGGGAAAAATATAAGAGTATGAGCTGTATAATATCCCCAGGAAAGTTCTAAAACACATGATCTCAATTCCAAACTCTTTGATAATCGTTTTCTTTTTCTTTCCTTTTTTTTCTGATTCTTATAAGTAAAATCCCATTCCATTCCAGAATGCAAGAGAAACCAAACAGATGAGCCTAGATGCTACTTCTGTTTTCATGCTACAAGGCTTTTAAAGGATAACAAAATATATAGAGAACCCAGAATACAATAGGATAAATTTACATAATTTATATTCACATATATCATAGAAGAGGGCCTGTAAGAAAAACATCAAGCTTTGTCACACTTTTATGATAAACTTTTATTCTGTTTAATTTTTAAGGGCAGTTTCTTATACAAGTTTCTTTCTGGGATTTATTTTCTGAAAGTATGCCTCTTATTTTCATAAATGCACAAAAATAGAGGAAAATGAACTTTATAAAGGACAGTTCAATAGTCCAGTTGTACTTAGTTGGAGATTATTTTAAATTCAGTGCTTTGTCTGAAAAAAATTTCATTAGCATCTGCATTTTGGATTATGGAAAAGTTGGACTACAAATTATCAAAGAGCAAATAATATTTTCCAATTGTTATAAGTAGCATTAGAAAGGACAAGGTGTTTAAATGCTCATTAAAACTTTTTTTAAAAAAGTAATTTGTCTAAATTTAGATACTGAAAGCACATATTGCCAGAATACAGTCTCTCTTGGAGACTTAATTCTAGCAACAAGGCCTTGGTAGTCACAGTCTTTTCACATTCTGATCAATTTCACTAAGGAAAGAATAAATCACATCTGGTATTACCCATTGACAAGTTTGACGTTTGTGACTATTTTTCTACTTATTAACATGTTCTTATGCTTTTAATGTAAACAACCAGAAACTGAGCCCAAACATATTCTCATATAAACAAAAAGTGTACAACATGAAACACATACCTCCATCGGGGGCTATTACAGAAAGGGAGAATACCCAGAATAAACCTTACTTTTATTTATAAATATTGGATTGCTTCATTGTAGAAAATGTTAATAAGAATACATGTCATTTCTTTTGTGGATGCCAGTAAAATGACAAATAGTCCTGTTACTCCTGTCATTACGTTACTGCTAATCCATCCACAGGATCCTGGCCTCATACAAGTTGCCAAGGATGTATCTAAAGCAGAGAATTTAAGTTTAATTCTAACTATACACAAATACACATCACTTAGAATGCTCTTGAGGAATGCTCTCATTAATTGGAAAAAAATATACAATGAAGAAAGGAAGGGAACCCTAAATTTTTTTTAAAAAATTAAAAATAAATAAAAATAAATTGACACAATTCCCCAGGAAGTCTCACATATTCTCTCTGCTGATATAGCTAAATACCAAGTGACAGGACTGTGGAATCCTTACTGCATGCTCTAACTCAAAATTAAAAAACAAATAAAAAAAAAAATCAACCCTTGGGTACATTGCTCTTTGGTTTAAATCTTTGTTACCTTCTGAAATTTTGGTAAACTCATTTATTTTCTTCAAATTATACTGGCTCCTCATTTCTTTCTTTCTTTCTTTCTTTCTTTCTTTCTTTCTTTCTTTCTTTCTTTCTTTCTTTCTTTCTTTCTTTCTTTCTTTCTTTTTTTCTCCATTGACAAAAAGTCAACCAAGAACCAGGCATAAGCTTTAGAATGGAAAAGGAGTTTTGTTTATGTGTATATGTGATTTTACGTCCAACCCCTGTATACAAACTCTTAAAAAAAAAAAAAAAGCAGGTGTTTTAACATCGTGCTTTATTCCAACTTAATCTCATCCTTGAACGAACTTCCTTCAATATTCAACCATTAAAACAAAAGCAGTCAATTTCCTGGTGGTTGTAATTTAATTAAGTAACCTTTCACACTGAGCAAAACCCAAAAGCAAAGGGTCATTAATCTTTCTAGTGATTAGAGACACCTCTAGGGCTTCAAACATTTACCTCTCCTTCCCCGCAGTAGATACGCTTTTAGAGGATCATGGTTCATACCTCACATTCCCTGGAGCCAGAGATGGTATATGTGCAGGGCCCAGATCCATTAACCGATATATCCATGGTCTCAGAGTTTGTAGGCTTGTAGTCCACATAATACTCCTGTAAAGGGGAATTCATTTGTCTCTCAGACTCTCTGGCCTTTTTCCGCCGCCTCTTCATAAGAGAATGTTGTTGAAGTTGTTTCATGCTGGCGGGATAGCGTTTCCAAGACACATAGATTACCAAGAGGATCATGGCCACCGAGAGAAACAGAGCCACACTCCCTGCAATAATTTTGTGAAAGGAAACATGCTCATATTCTTGCTCTGCGCCAGGAATCTGAAACCCCGGGGAAGGGCTTGCTGTATCAAGGGTGGATTGGGTGGTATCAGGCTTGAAGAGGGTGGGTTTGGGGAGAAACAGAGGCTTCTGGGGAGTTTGAGGGACCAGATGTGATCTTTCCGTGTTAACCACCTGGACTTCAGAACAGATGTTGTATGTTTCCACTGCATCGCTCACCTTTTCCCCTTGGATGTGCTTAGGTCCGGCACAGATCATGGTGCTTTCCTTATTTCCTTTGAAGTTCTTGAGCCAATAAAACAGTGGACAAATGCTCCGACTGCATTCCCACATATTTCCAGACAAAGTAATGGATATTAGTGAAATCCATGCATTGACAGTTTCCTGGGAGATGTTGGTCAGCTTGTTGGAATCCAAATTCAGTTTTTGCAAGTTGGGTAGGCATTTAAATGTGCCTGGTTCAATGCCTTGGATGTCATTCCCTGATAAATCCAAGTTGTGTAAGGAACTCCAAGTCCAGGTCAGGCCTTGGCTGATGGAGCGAATCCGGTTCCACTGTAAGTAGATGGAACGGAGGTTGAAGAGACGTGGAAAATGAGCAAAGTTGATCTTGGAAAACTGGTTGTGTTCCAAGTGAAGCTCTTTCAATTTCAAAAGGCCAGCAAAAGCATTGCGTGACAAGCTTCTAAGACGATTGTAACCCAAATCCAGAAAGTCAAGATTTCGGCAGTCCTGAAAAACTCTTATGGGCACAGTCTTTAGGGAGTTAGATCTCAAGTGTAAAATGATGAGCTTCCGCAGGCCTTTAAATTGTTCCGATTGCAAAGTCTGAAGTTTATTGTAAGAGAGGTCCAGATTACGGAGATTGGGAACTGGGTGAAATGTTTTATTGTGCAGATAGGTAATTTTGTTGGAGCTGAGAATTAATTCTTTCAGTCTACGGATCCCTTGAAAGGCATCTTCATCCACGGAGCTAATATAATTATGGTCAAGATAAAGCCATATAAGCTGGTTAAGGCCAGCAAACTGATTGGCTTTGAGCTTCTGAATGCTATTGAACCTTAACGATAAGCCTTGGGACCCTCCGGAAATGTTCTCTGGGATATCTGCAAAAGCGTGAGACTCACAGTACACAATTTTCCCATCACACCTGCAGTTTTTTGGGCAAGCTCTCTGAGCTCCCGTGAGCATAAAAAGCAGCAGGGTCGGAAGTAGCACCAGAACCACACTCATGCCTTTCAGCTGCGTAATTAAATGGAAACCTACAATATTAAAAAGAAGACAAATGCACATTGTGAAGCTGTTAAAATACGTCACCATCAGCTTCCCCAAAGCAAGGCATGAGGATTGTCTAGAGTAGTAATGGAGCATTTGATTTAAGAACACACGTAATATTGAGAGAGTTATTTTCCTATTTAGGTTTAATTCTTTCCTCTTGGATATTCTATTCACCACAGAGAAAGAGAGAGAGAGAGAGAGAGAGAGAGAGAGAGAGAGAGAGAGAGAGAGAGAGAGAGAGAGAGAGAGAGAGAGAGAGAGAGAGAGCTCCTATCCGACTTTCGAGAGTTCCCGTGTGTATCTCACCCTGAGAGGCAACAACCAACCCTTTCTTTTCACAGAATGCTAACATTTTAGTAATAATGATATTTGGCTAGTTACTGTGTTGAGCAACAGTATTAAAAGGAAGTCTGCTACGTCTTCCAGTAAGAGGAAAATTGAGACTTAATAGATGAAGACTGGTACATCTTTCCTAGTTGAGCAAACGGGCTATGATTTAGCAAAAGAGCTTTAGGAGACTGTCAGGGTAATTCAGGTTTATCATGCCTGGATTTGTATACTTCTTGTACAGTGCAAGGGCAGTATGGGAGCTTGGAAAAGTGTCATGGGGAACAGTAGAGGCAATTTGGGAGGCATGGGAAGAAGACTAATAATAGTTTGAGAGACCCTTGATATGCTAATAAGCATATATGATTGCATACTGTGGCTCTTTCCCCAGTGAAACATAAGCTATGCATTAGAACCATCCCAATCAGAGAGAACACAGCACAGTTAAGATTGCAAAATCCTTCTGAAAAATTTATATGGAATAAACAAACAAACAAACATGTATTTGTTAGTTTGCGGCTGATTTCCATATGGTTGGTTTTTGCAAATTGGAAGTACAAGCAAGGACAGGAAATATCAGACTTTAACTGGCCACCATTGGGACCTACTCAGATTTCTGACACTGACTTTTTTTTTCTTTTTTTTTTCTTTTTCCTCTTCTTCCTCCATTAACTTCAAAAAGCCCGCAAAGTTGCAATCTCCTGGCTCTTAGGCTGCATTTCCAAATCATTGCATGTTATGGGTCTTCTTCCCTCTATCCTAAAGAAATCTGTTATTTCTTAACCATAAGAAAGAAAAAAAAACTACCATGTGCTGCAGATTCCTTGTATTTCTTTCAGATTCATATTTTTAACCAAGAGGCAATCTGCCAAACGTTTAATCTAAAAAAGCCTCATTCTTCTCAGTTAAGTTTTTTTTTAAAGGTTTATTTATTTATTTAAAACTCGATCTTGCTCTCTGTCCTCCGGCCAACCTCAGACTCATTGAAATACATTCCAGATCTCCCAGACAGGAGAAAGGGGGGTTGGGGGGAGGGGGGGCAGTTAGCCAGTCGCACTTGAAAAATAAGACTGGCAAATGACTGCTGGAAATTTGGGAGCCGTGCATCGGAGACAGCATTAAAGATTAAACAAGCCCTTGCACAACCTCTGATTAAAGTAGGGACCCCACCCCTACACACACGGAGCAAAGTGGTAACAACGATCTCTTCGGCAACCAGAAATACAAGCCTGGCTAATATTATCAAGAAACACAAGCAAACGCATTATTTATCTCATGCTCAATTCCCAAGCTGTGGATGTGCAGACGGTAGAGACAGTCTTGAAGAGATTTCTCTAGAGTCTGTTTAAGTCTATGTTATGCATTTATGGATTTTTAAAAAAAGCTACAAAAAGGAAAATGAGCTATTAAAAACAAAACAAACAAACAGTAACAAGTCTGCTGAGTTCACTGACAAACTCAAAGGCTGCTGCTTTTTGACTGTTTCCTTGTCTTTTTAGCAGCTAATGCCATGGCTGAGAATAGAAAAAGGCAAGCCGATCGGCTTGGCTAAAAAGGTAACAACAAAAAGTTCACTTACCCATTCTTTGTCATTCGAAAACGTTTTCCAACCCTTTCTCAGCTTTCTTCTTATTTGGTCTCTGGTGCGGAAACCTCCATCACCTTCATGACACAGTGCGGCTGTCATTCACAACATTCTGATCCCACATGTGAGCTAGTAGCCCCATACAAACTTCCCCGGAGAGGACAGGCAAAAAAAAAAAAATTAAATATATATATACATACATATGTTTAAAAAAATCAGCAGGGGTGAGATGGAGGGGCCGGGAGAAGGAAGCCGTGGGGGGTGGTGGGGAAGGGGGGAGGGCTTCTAGGCTCTGAGGACCATTGTGTAATTCACCAGAGACCCATCAGCAGTAATTGGCAATCTGTGCAGAAGAGCTACAGCTCATCTCGGTGGTAACCAACTTCTCTGTGAAAAGAGAGGAAAAAAAGGAAATCTTCAGAATACCTGACATTCCTTCTTGTGCTGGCTTTTGCCATTCCAGATAAAGCAATTCATCCTCTGGATTTTCAATTCTTGAAGCCAGTAGGCCTCCTGTGCTGTAGGAGACCCCAGTTTAAAAGCTATGCAGGCTAGGTTTATCCATTTAGCTGGTCAGGTTTAAAGTGTTTTGTAGCTGTGCTGAGAGGCAGCCCTTGTCTAATTCAGAAGGCTTTCCAGAGACTGATGATGCTCAGAGCTTGTTGGTGCTAATGCTTGAGTTTGTGATACACTGAGTGCCCTCCGCTGGAGAAAACAGATTGCACATTAAAGACGGGAACAAGTGAGCTTGTCAGTGGTGTGCAGCCTTCCCTTGCTCAGAAAGGGAAATTAAAGGCACAGGATCACTTTTATTTTTCTCTCCCCAATAATATAAATCACCAATGCTTTATGCTAAAGAGTTCTTCCTTTCAACAGAAAATGCTGTGTAAAATACTGCTTCCGTAAATACAACATGATTAATAATTGTAGAGTTGCCTTGACCTGCATATTTTTCTACTGTTGTTACAGGTGATTTGTGGTCTCATTTTTTTTTTAAAGTTAGAAACAATTTTAGTTGTATTTATTAATGCTTTAGTTTTGTATTTGCTTACACTTATAAAGCCAACCACACAGGAAAACAATCTTATTCACAGAAGAATATGATGTGATCGCTTCCCAAGAAAGTTTAGATTTCCCAAGAAAATATTTAGATTAAATATTAAATTTCATCCTCATCAATCACATATAATCTGTCATTTTATGTATTTATTGAACAACCTAGAAAATGACTTAGTAAATCTTAAATTTTAATCTTAAGACATTTATTATTTATACAATTGTAACAAATATGAAAATATCAAATAAAAACTAAGGTAGGTAACAGTAGAATTCCAGCTGGACATGCTCAGAAAATTCAATCAAGTTTGCTTCAGCGAACTCATATTTATAGTGTTACTTGTTTTTGTGAAAACCACTATTGTAACGTGTCATTCCAGAGAAACCAAAAGGTTTTATATTACCTCTTCTGTATTATCATAGTTATTTCTCTAAACTTTATGCAATATCTTCAGAATTTATGACTGATGAAATCACAAATATCTGAGGTAGGTAGCTTTGAAAAATACACATGCTTTTCTTACTCTTATACTGAACATTGGAAAAAACTAATAAATAATATAATGCATGACTTCCATTTGAATCCTCAATCTTATTATTTTATTTCTTCATACTCTGGCAGATAACATTTTTAAATAATCCAGAAGAATTAACCACTATAATGCAGAGCAAGACTGCTTGATAAAATTGCTAACCTAATTTAGAAGAAGTGAGTGCTTTAAATGAATTTTACATAAGCATCTCGAATTGCTTCGAATTATTGCAAATTAATTTTTGTGGAAATACTATTAGTTTTACATTATTTGCCATTTAATAATAATTAAAAGAAGGGATCATTGTATGAATAATACACATAAAATGGATTCATATTGATAAGTAGGTAATTACTAAGATTTCTGCAGAGAGGGAAAAGCATAATGTTCCCAAAATATATCTCCTTTTTATTCACTGATAACTGAATGTGTATTTTAGAAATGTATACATTTGGTTTAAAGCTTAAAATCTATCAAAATATAAATGCATAAACTAAGAGGCAGTATCACTGTGATTACTGAAAGGAGATTATTAAAAATCAAAGATACAAGGATATGTATCAGGTTTGTTCAAAACAATAAAACTATACCCCCATTTTATTTTTTTTGGTCAGTTATGGGGGGCTTAACTCTGGGCCTGGGCACTGACCCTCAGCTCTTCAGATCAAGGCTAGCACCCTATCACTTAAGCCACAGCACCACCTCCAGCTTTTTTTTGTGTGTGTGTGAAAATACAGTACAGAAGGGTTACAATTACATGGGCAAGATAATGAGTACATTTCTTATCAAGCATTTTTGCTTCCTCCTTTGTTTCCTCTTCCCATCCCTTCCCATCTCCCCCCACACACACTCCCCCTCGCCCCCCAACGCCAAAGTTGTAAAGTTCATTTTTCGACATAACATCTTAAACATCTCATTGTTGCAATGGGTCCAGCTGTATCCCGTTTTAAACAATTTGTTTTTATCTGTTTATGTGGTGCTGAGGAAATGAAACCAGGGCCTCATGCATGCAACTCTACCATTGATTGACTCAACTTCCCAGCTCCCATTCACATATTTTTAAGAGTGGTCCATTCCTTAAGGGGAACTATATGTTCATGAAAAAGAACATAATGTACTAAAATCAGAATAAAAATTTGATTGGCTAACAGGAAATAATGTCCATAACACATAAAGTAAATTATATAGGCAAGGTACTCAAATCGTAGAAGGAAATAAAAGGCAGTTGGTTAATTTCCAAGTTTCCTCTCCCTCTTTGGAATGAAGCAAAAAATAAAATGTTTAGAACAATTTTTTTTCTGTAAAATCCAATTAAGATGAATTTGATTTTTAACAACTATGATATCTTACCCATGTTTTAAAATTCTAAAATGAATGAATATACATATGATAATTTTCTTTTTTATGTATGTGTAGTCTTTTTGTTTAATCTACAATATGAACATACTTAATGTTATTAATGGGGCTAAAATCCCCCCACTTAGTGGGGAAATGGGGTAAAATTTGATTTTTGTTTAAAATATCTTAGAAAATTACTGCATTCCCAAGAATGAAATGTACTATGTATATTTTTTTTTTACAAAGATGAAGTTAAAGATCAAATGCAGATTTTTTTTTTAACACACTTTGAGGATATAGTAAGTTGAAGAACTTTGCAAGTGACAGAGACTCTGTATGGAAGATTTGTTTGGAAAAAAGTGGCCTGATAATTCCTTCTCTCATTCATAACACACACACACACACACACACACACCTGCATATAAGGAAAATTACTGGGTTTATCAGCGTCTCAACAAGTGTAGAGAAATGGACTACTGAAAATTTCTTGAAAAGCTTGCTATTGTTTGCACTAGTGATCTCAGCAGGCTACAGTGATGTCTAGATCTTGTTTGAAAAATAAAAAAATAAACAAATGTAAACGAGTTTCCTAGAATGAAAGAGATTTAGTGTTTTGTTGTAATTGGCATTCACTTTAATAATTTGTCATGAAAAAAATAAACAAGTACATACAACTTCTATAACAAAGAATATGTGGGAAATCAACTTGGAGTCTTTTCAGATCCTGATAAGACCCCCTAACAAGAAGAGTCTATGAATGTGTTGCCAAAGAAAACAGACCAATAAACAATCAAACAGCAATAACAACCTGAAGGCAAGTTAGTGTGGACAGGAACCAGAAAAACACAAAAATAATTCTGTTCTGTTTGTGATTAATTTGAGGATTCTTTTCAATCAGTCCTTCCATTTGAAAGGAACGAGAGAAAAATAAGGAAGGAAAGAAAGAAAGAAGGAAGGAAGGAAGGAAGGAAAGAAGGAAGAAAGGAAGGAAAGAAGGAAGGAAGGAAGGAAAGAAGGAATCTGGGAAGGAAGGAAAGGGAGGGAGGGAAGAAGGGAGAAAAGGAGGAAGAGAGAGAAAGAAAAAGAAAAAGAAAGAAAGAAGGAAGGAAGGAAGGAAGGAGGGAGGAAAGGAAGGAAGGAAGGGAAGGAAAGAAGGAAACTAGGAAGGAAGGAAAGGGAGGGAGGGAAGGAGGGGGAAAGGGAGGAAGAGAGAGAAAGAAAAAGAAAAAAGAAAGAAAGGAAGAAAGAAAGAAAGAAGGAAGGAAGGAAGGAAGGAAGGAAGGAAGGAAGGAAGGAAGGAAGGAAGGAAAGGAAAGAAGGAAACTAGGAAGGAAGGAAAGGGAGGGAGGGAAGGAGGCAGAAAGGGAGGAAGAGAGAGAAAGTAAAAGAAAAAAGAAAGAAAGGAAGAAAGAAAAAAAGAAGAAAGAAAGAAAGAAGGAAGGAAGGAAGGAGGGAAGGAAGAAAGGGAAGGAAAGAAGGAAACTAGGAAGGAAGGAAAGGGAGGGAGGGAAGGAGGGAGAAAGAGAGAGAGAAAGAAAAAGAAAGGAAGAAAGAAAGAAAAAGAAAGAAAGAAAGGAAGGAAGGAAGGAAGGAAGAAACATTTCCTAGTCTTGGAGATCACAAATTCTTTTTGTAATGGTTCCAATCAACCTAGAAGTTTCAAACAAAGGTCAGGAAAACAGAAAATTTGCACATGATAAGCAAAAGGGAAGAGACTAAATATATTGCCAATCCTTTCACAGGTATCCTGTGAATACCTGCTTGTAATCTGGACAAACCTTTTTGTCTTTAGATAAGTTATGATATTTGACTCATACTATGTACCATATGTAGTCATTTACTGACTTGAGGTTTCATGAACTAAGATCATAAGATTCTTTTGCTACCTCTAAGAGCATGTAGTTGCTCCATATTGTAAATTAAAATTGATCATTATATGTGTAGTTACACCAAGAATTTATAAAGTTCCATAAATTACTGAGTGTGAAAACTTGACAAAAATTATAAAGTATTAATAAAAGATTTAATTTAAAAGAAATTAATTTGGCTGGGCGCCAGTGGCTCACACCTGTTTCCTAGCTACTCAGGAGGCTGATATCTGAGGATCAGGGTTCAAAGCCAGCCCAGGCA